CATTTGTATCTTTGGGGTAAATACCCAGTAGTGCAATTGCTGGATCGTATGGTAGCTCTATTTTCAACTTTTTGAGGAACCTCCATACTATTTTCCAGGGTGGTTGCACCAGCTTGCATTCCCACCAACAGTGTAGGAGGGTTCCCCTTTCTCCGCATCCCCACCAACATCTGTCGTTTCCTGACTTGTTAATTTTAGCCATTCTGACTGGTGTGGGGTGGTATATCATTGAGGTTTTGATTTGGATTTCCCTGATGCTGAGCGATGTTGAGCACTTTTCCATGTGTCTGTTGGCCATTTGGTTGTCTTCTTTGGAAAAATGTCTGTTCATGTCTTCTGCCCATTTCTTGATTGAATTATTTGTTCTTTGGGTGTTGAGTTTGATAAGTTCTTTATAGATTTTGGATACTAGCCCTTTATCTGATACGTCATTTGCAAATATTTTCTCCCATTCTGTCGGTTGTCTTTTGGTTTTATTGACTATTTCTTGAAAGATGCTAAATTATTAATAAATATATTAGAAATTAGACTTTGGGGGTTGCCTGGGGTGACGCAGTTGGTTAAGTGTCCCACCTCTTGTTTTCAGCTCAGATCATGATCTCAGGGTCGTGAGATGAGCCCCACATTGGGCTCCGTGCTAAGCACGGAGTCTGCTTGAGTTCTTCCTCTCCCTCTGCCCCTCCTGCTCATGTGTGCACATGCTCTCTGGAGCGTGCGCGTGCTGTCTATCTCTCTAAAATAAATTTTTTTTTTTATTTGAGAGAGCATGAGAGGGGAGGGGGTCAGAGGGAGAAGTAGACTCCCCACTGAGCAGGGAGCCCGATGTGGGACATGATCTGGGACCCTGGGATCATGACCTGAGCCGAAGGCAGTCGTTAACCAATTGAGCCACCCAGGCACCCCCTAAAATAAATCTTTTTAAAAAAAAAAAAAGAAAGAAATTAGACTTTGGGTCTTAGTACACTTTTCTATCTGTCATATTTAAAATTGATTTCTTTTTCCTGTGCATTTTGGGAAACCTGATTTACCCTGCCTTTTTCCTTTTTTATTTTCTTTAGAGTTACTCAGGGGAAAGGATTAATGCCAGATGGTACTAGCAGATTTACTTGCAAAGGAAAGACAATTTTACATTACATGGGAACCAGCACATTTTCTGAATATACAGTTGTGGCTGATATCTCTGTTGCTAAAATCGATCCTTTAGCACCTTTGGATAAAGTCTGCCTGCTGGGTTGTGGCATTTCAACTGGTTATGGTGCTGCTGTGAACACTGCCAAGGTAAGAGATTGGCCTGGATTTTAGCTTCTGCCTTCTGATTTGATACAACAGAGCTTTGCTAGAATAGTGAACTTGGCCCGGTGTGTAAGAAACCTAGTGATTTCCTTGACACTTGTGCAATGAGTACCTAATAGACTGTCTTTCCTGTTAGGTGGAGCCTGGCTCTACCTGTGCCATCTTTGGCCTAGGAGGAGTTGGACTGGCGGCTGTCATGGGCTGTAAGGTGGCTGGTGCATCCCGGATCATTGGTGTGGACATCAATAAAAATACATTTGCAAGGGCCATGGAGTTTGGAGCCTCTGAATGTATAAACCCCCAGGACTTCAGTAAACCCATCCAGGAAGTGCTCATTGAAATGACTGATGGGGGAGTGGACTATTCCTTCGAATGTATTGGTAATGTGAAAGTCATGGTAAGTGTGTTTTGCTTCATTTTTTTTTTCTTTCTCTAGCTTTATTGTAAGAATAGAGCATGTAATACATACACAAAATATGTATTGTTTATAGTATTGGTAAGGCTCCCAGTCAATAGTAGGCTGTTGGTTAAATTTTGGGGGAATCAACAGTTATATGTGAATTTTCGACTGCACGGGGGGTGGGCGCCCCAACCCCTGTGTGTTGTTCAGGGGTTAGCTGTACATCCACTTTACTAACCTCGAGCAACAACTTCTCTAAAGCTCAGTTTCCTCTTGTGTAAAATGCAGACAGTAATGACACCTCCTTGACACAGAGTAGATGCCCAGCAGGAGTATTACTTTCTCCACCTGCTTCCTTTATTAAAGTCTTTAGAATTTTGAACTAGAATTTATTTGAAAAACTAGACATCAAGGGGCGCCTGGGTGGCTCAGTCGGTTAAGCGTCTGCCTCCGGCTCAGGTCATGATCCCAGGGTCCTGGGATCGAGCCCCAGTGTCGGGCTCCATGCTCAGCGGGGAGCCTGCTTCTCCCTCTGTCTGCCGCTCCCCCGCCCCCAGTTTGTGCTCTGTCTCTATGTCAAATAAATAAATAAAATCTTAAAAAAAAAAGCTAGACAGCAAATAAAAGCCTTAAATTCTTTCATTTTGTGTTAATATTTAGTCAGGTTAATAATTTTTTTTAAAAAACCGTTGAATGAAATTACATTTACCAAATAGTGTGATCACTTTGCATGATTTTTTTAGAAGCTCTGTGCCACCACTCTTTCCTCCCAAAGTTACTTTGCTGATATTCTCAGCAGAATGCACTGACCTATGTGATTCGGTCCTGCCCCTCTCTGCAGAGAGCCGCGCTGGAGGCCTGCCACAAAGGCTGGGGCGTCAGCGTCATAGTCGGGGTAGCTGCTTCGGGTGAAGAAATCGCCACTCGCCCATTTCAGCTGGTAACAGGCCGCGTGTGGAAAGGCACTGCCTTTGGAGGTAATTCAGTGTGTGAGCACATTTTCTCTTTTGTTATTTCCATTGGCAGAATTTTCATCCCAGGCTGATTTGTTTTAACAAGAATTTTCATGGACTACCTTCTCATCATAAGTCGTTGCATAGTTATTTTAATAAGAGGGTTTCCTATTCAGTCACTATTCACCTCTGGGGCTAGGTTGATGCTCAGCTTCCTCTGAAGCATGAGATCCCTTTTTACACACACAAAAATCAGTATCCTGTTGACGAGGAAATAGTTGGGGGTAGGGCAGGGGTGAGAAGATGGCTCCAGGGTACGCAGACAGCAGTGTCAGCCACACTGTCACGGTGTGGACTTAAATGGGTTATTGGCATTTCTCCTCATTCTTCCCAAGCGTAGTTTTCACTGGATGTGATTGTACCGCTCTCTACATAGTACTGACTTCAGCAGTAACCAATACAAATTCTTAAACTGAAAATACCGTATTAGACCAAACCTTGTAACAGTTGAAAAGCTGCCAGACTGATCATTTTTCCCTTTTGTGATCCTAAAAAGTACATGGTTGGTTGGGGTTGCCTAACTACTGGTAGACTGCTGAAAAATCATTTCCATCTTTTCCGTGGTTGCTCAGCTAGGAAGCACAAATCATGCTTTTATATCCCAACAATTATGAATGAATGAATGAAATCTAACGTTTTTATAGGTTTTTAAATATATATATCTATAGATACACACACCTATATGTATATATATACATTTATATTCTCACCATCCTTTTAGGGGGGAAAAATCACATTGCATGAGTTTTTAATCTGTATTTAACAAAGTGTCTCTTAAGATCCCCATCCTCATATTATGTCCACTTTTTTGAAGGCCAGAGGAAAAGATCAGGAAAGTATGAGGGGTTTAACCAAAGTTTTCTGTCTTTATACTATAGAATTCACCATAAAAAAATGTCAAGGGGCGCCTTCGTGGTGCAGTCCGTTAAGTGTCTGACTCTTGGTGTCAGGTCAGGTCGTGATCTCAGGGTTGTGAGATAAAGCCCTGCATCGGGCTCAGCTCAGTCTGCTTGCAGATTCTCTTTCTCTCTACCTCTGCCCCTCTCCTGACTCAGGCAAGTGAGCTCTCTCTCTCTCAAATAATAAAATCTTAAAAAAAAAAAAAAAAATTTCTATTAAAAAAGAAACGTAAAGCTGACTAAACTTGCCTTTCCAACTAGATGTATGCTTCACTTGAGTATCTTAGAATAGACTTTTAAGGCCACACATCCTCCCAGGTCCTTAACTATATTGGAAAGGGTATTCTGAGCCTGGGAGACTGAGCCAGGGGGTTTGATCCTAACCTCTCACGGGAGCCTCGTCCTCCCAGCTCATGCTGGTTGGGAAATAAGCTGGAGCATTAGGGCCCAATGGGTGTTGTTAAAATATGACCCATAGATGGAAATAGAAGTTTTGGTCTAGAGAATAGTGGTGGCTGTACTTGGTTACCAGGAGATTTAAAGGAGAAAGAAAGGGGTGCCTGGCTGGCTTAGTGGGTAGAGCATGTGACTTGATCTTGGGGTCGTGTGTTCAAGCCCCATGTTGGGCATGGAGCCTACAATCAATCAATATTATATAAATATAATTTTTTTTAAAAAAAGAAAAGGGATGCCTGGGTGGCTCGTTCGTTAGGCGTCTGGCTTCGGCTCACGTCATGATCCCAGGGTCCTGGGATCGAACCCCGCATCGGGCTCCCTGCTCAGCGGGAAGCCTGCTTCTCCCTCTCACACTGCCCCCTGCTTGTGTTCACTCTCTCGCTGTGTCTCTCTGTCAAATAAATAAATAAAATCTTTAAAAAAAAAAAAGAAAGAAAAAGCCCCACAATTTTTAGGGGAAGAATAATTGGTAGAAGATATAAGGAGGGAGGTTTGGAAAAGGCTCAAAAGAGGTTTGAAATGAGCTACAAGGTGTCCCTAGTTTAAAAGGTGGAAAGGCTTCTTTGTCGATTTATTATGTCTTTCAATATAAGTGAAAGACTGAAGGACCTGATTTTCTTTAAAATCTTAAGTAGCTAGGGCGCCTGGGTGGCTCAGTGGTTAAGCGTCTGCCTTCAGCTCAGGTCATGATCCCAGGAGCCCCGCATCGGGCTCCCTGCTCAGTGGGGAGCCTGCTTCTCCCTTTCCCACTCCCCCTGCTTGTGTTCCCTCTCTCACTGTGTCTCTCTCTGTCAAATAAATAAAATCTTTAAAAAAATAAATAAAATCTTAAGTAGCTAAAAATTTCCCACTGTTGTTTTCAATTTCACAGTTTTCTAGGGTGAGATGCTATCCCTAATTTCATTGTTAAGTTTAAAACCAAAGGAATAAAGTCATGTATCACATCAGTTTTATTCTTCCTTGAATTTCATGATTACAGAAATCTTTCTGTTACGGACCTAAATAAGTTTGGTGTAAGACTTCCAGAGTTCTGTGCTAGATAGTTTAAAATTTTGTCTCAATTTGCTAAAAACTTAATGAGATTTTAGTAAATCTTAATACAGAAAAAGGAAAATACTCAGAAGGCATTTACTGTTTTCTTAACTAAAGACATACATTAAATTCTTCCTCCTCTCTGCTGATTTTGGAGTTCTTCATTCCTTTTTAATTCATGATAAAATTTATTCTCTTAAATGTCTGTCACCCACTAAGTAATAAGCATACTGTAAAGATTTTTGGGAGAATTAATAGATGTATGATTTCTTTTAGGATGGAAGAGTGTGGAAAGTGTCCCGAAGTTGGTGTCTGAATATATGTCCAAAAAGATAAAGGTTGATGAATTTGTGACTCATAATCTGTCTTTTGACCAAATTAACGAAGCCTTTGAACTGATGCATTCAGGGAAGAGGTAAGCTTCCTCTTTGGCCATATATTATAAAATGTAGTAATGATTTAGGGTTTGTGTAGGAAGGGTAAAAAAAGATAATTTTAGTGGTCTTAAAAGATATCCATTAAAACCTGTTTATTGCTTCCTTCTCTTACAGCATTCGAACTGTTGTAAAGCTTTAAATTCAACAGAGAAAACCTGTTCATCCTTGTACTGAAGTCTTGTGGTCCAGCTGGAACAGCCAGACAAGCAGGGAGAAGATCTTCCAAGTTCACAGCCTCTTAGACATTCTAGACCTTCTAGACCTTCTCTACTACTACTTCTAGAGTAACGTACTCTAGGCAATAATATTTTTTGTATAATTCATAAATCTCTAATCAAGGACAAGGCTAATACTGTCCTAAATCTGTTTTCTGAACTCTCCTTCACATGTATAATTGCCAACTGATTAAGGAATATCCTAACATAATAAAAGTAATTTCTGTGTATGTGTAGACGTTGTCATCTCTGTTTTATGCTGAATTCGTTCTCATGGTTCCTGTCCCCATAATTTTCATTCTTTACAGGAAAGCTAGAGGAAACAGGGCAGTGGTGAATATCTGACCTTGCCTTCTTCCATCCTCAGTAATTTTTGCTTAGCTTTTAAGAGTCGCTGGCCCATTTACTAAAAACAGATATCCTCACCATCAGGGGCAAAGTTACTCAGAACCCAAGTCAGCCCCTGTGAGATTACATTCTTGAGAACAGATACCATGCCTTGTTTAGACTCACTCTCCCAGTTCCCAGTGCGGCATCTGGCCCACCCTGGGCGCTAAACTTCGTTGACAAAACTACCTTCTGGGCATAAGAAGGTGTATGTGTGTTGGTGGCGGCTTCTATGAACTCTTTCAGGTATGTAAAAAAAATACATACTGAATTTCAGAGTTCCCAGGCACTTTTTCAAATCTTAACGTTTACCACTTCTGGACACATTGCCTTTCCTCTCCAGAGGTTTTTTATGAACTATCTGTCCACATCCTTTTCCTCACCACCCAGAATTTGGTGTTTTTCACGCTCATGCATATTGTTACACTTTTACTGTACATATCCCTTAACCCTCTAGTCTTTGGTATTGAAAACCTGATACTGTCTCATTCTGCAGCTTTCATTTCTTACTCATTATTGTGTGATGAATCCATGTGATGCTCTCATTCACTAATTTTAATACTGCGCAACAGTATTCAGTTATATGAAATAACATAACTTACCTGCTGTCCAAATGATGGCATAAAGCAGCTTCCAGAGTTGTTTCTGTACTGCTAACACTGGTGAAACATTGTACATCTTGTTCATTGTGTTATTTAGGATATATAGCTGACCCTTGAACAACATGGGTTTGAACTGCACAGATCCACTTACACATGGATTTTTTACATTATGGTATTGTAAATGTATTTTCTCAACATTTTCTCTCTAGCTTACTTTGTTGTAAGAATACTGTTTATAATACATATATAAAAAATGTGTTAATCAACTGTTCTCTTAAGGCTTCCAGCGAAAAGCTGTTTGTAAAGTTTTTGGGGAGTCAGAAGTAATACGTGGATTTTCAAATGCGTGGAAGGTCAGCGGCCCTAAGCCTTGCGTTGTTCAAGAGTCAATAGAATAAGCACATCTTGACTTCAGAAATTGCCAGATTGTTCCTCAAAATGGTTGAAAACTTTTGCAAGTGAGATGGGCGTGAAATGATATTTCGTTACTTTAGCTGGCATTCCCTTCAGTTACTAAAGTACTATTGTACATTTGTATTTCCTTTTTTGTGAAGTATCCATTCACATCCGTTGCTCCTTTTTCTATTGGATTAGTTATCTTTTTCCGAGTACTTTTTAGAGGAGTTATTATAGATGTCAGTCCTTCATCAGTTTTATATCTTACTTTAATGTATTTTATATTTATTTTTAATATAGTCAAATCAGTCTTCGTGGTGCTCTTAAGTAACATTTACGTTTTCTGAGCAATATAAAGAAGCAAAAATGATTCATAGTCTTCCCATCCAGGTAATCCATTGATACTGAAAAAAAAACAAAACAACATATCTGAGAGAAAATTACATAAGAAAGAAGAGCAACACTCCCCTCCCACAATAAAAATAGTTGACTGCTGTTAAGTTTATATATCTTCCCAGAATTTTCAATGCATGTTAATACCACTTACACATATCCTTTAAAATTACACAAAGCATATTGCAGACTGTATCAGCACCTTGCATGTGCCATGCACGTAGATCTCTTGGTTGAATTGAAGCCATGTGCTTTTTTGTTTTAATACTTTTTTTTTAAGATTTTATTTATTTATTAGAGACACAGAGAGGGAACACAAGCAGGAGGAGTGGGAGAGGGAGAGGCAAGCCTTCTGCGGAGCAGGGAGCCCAAAGCGGGGCTCGATCGCAGGAGGCTGGGATCATGACCCGAGCTGAAGGCAGATGCTTAATGACAGCCACCCAGGCGCCCCTATTTTAATACTTTTGATCGATGTGGCTTAATTGCTCCTATAAAAAGGTGGTGTTTCTGAGCACTATTTAGTTGACTGAAAAGTAGAAAAGTGGCAATTGTGGTCAGGACCTCTCCTTTTTGGATCTTTGGTGTAGGGCCAGGTAGTGCAACCTAGTTTTTCATTTTACCTAGAGGGCGGGAGTTGCACTAGGGGCCCAAATGGCCCCAAACTATTGCCCTGAGAAAACTGGAAGAAGAAATTAAAACTAGCTTCTACCGAAGCTATAAGAAATAGGCTTTTAATCAGGTTTGATTTAGCCTAGCGTTCCAGGAACAAAGTATATTATTACCTTGAGTAATTGCATTAAGAAAATGGACATGTAGGATAATAATGGAGAGCTAGTAATTCTTTAAAAAGTTTTTATCCCCATTACTTTTCTTCTCATATAATGAGGGTATACACAAATGAGATGGCATTTTTATGTTCACCAATGTGAGAAAGTAAAGCTATTTTAAAATATAAAATAACTCCAATTCTTGTAGCTGGCCAATTAGGGAGTTTACTTCTCATTTCTGTCACAGTTAAGTACATACTCTTGAGCCAGCTAATTCGGTTTAACAAGTATGAGCATTTCCTGGCTGAAAGCACAATTGTCTCTTTTCAAAGAACTAGTAGAAGCAATCAAGTTTGTAAGATCCTTATTACAAAGATTCTTGGATCATGGGACTCTAAAGCCTTTTCAAGATCCTTTTAATACAGCCTCTTAGATGGCATCTAGGATGTTCTGTATAATGCTAGACAAAATAGGTTTTGGAAGAAGGTATAGATCAAACACGGCTGAAACCCACTCACTGTGTACGTCAGCAAATCTTGTCCGAAATTAGGAGTCTACCGCTTTAGAAGTATTGCTGGGAATTTTTTTTAAGTATCTTAAGTTGCTTTCTTGGACAGATACATAATTTTAACACAACTGGCTAACCCATTGTGTATTTCATGAAAGCTAGTAAAATGTATTTTTAAGTACAGTATTAAGAACTAACTTTAGCAGCTCCTGGGTGCTCAGTCGGTTAAATGTCCAACTCTTGGTTTCGGCTCAAGTTGTGATCTTATGGGTCATGGGACTGGCCCTGCATCGGGGTCCGCGTTCAGAAGGGGGTCTGCTTGAGATTCTCTCCTTCTGCCCCTCCCCCCACTCATGCTTACAGTTTCTCTCAAAAAAAAAGCAAAAACAAACAAAAAAAACTAAGCATCCTTTTTACTGAAAATTCTTCCTATACCTAGCTAACATTTTCAAATCTTGCTTGCATATCCATTTTCAGCATGGTGTGCTATTCTATTTAACCCTACTGATGTTCACTGGAGTAAGATAGTCCATATACAGACTATGTCTGACTTGGAACAAGTTCTTTATTACATGCAGAGAACCAATCTATAAAGTATGAACATATAGAATGATGAGGTTGTGGGGGATGGGGCAGGGGAAAACTGCATTACATCCAAAACTCTGTCACAGGGAACCAGCTCATGTGTCTGCAACTTAAACCAAACAAAAAATGCTCCAAAAAACATACATAATACTATTTCCATTTATCCCATTTGAATGCAAAATTATACATAGCTGGTAATTCTCAAAACGTTTGTTGATTTGGGGATAGGGGGAACATATTTTCCATGCACAGGTTGCTTCAGAACATTTTCTGCTTGGCTACCAATCTGCCAATTAAGATGGTGATCAAAGTCCTAAAGTAACTGACAGTACTTTGGGCCTAGAGTCACTTTGTGACCCAGGAAAAAAACCAACTTTGGATTCAGCCAATAATGTTTCAGTTAATATGCACGATCAGATTCTTTGTCAGCAAATACCCTTTAGAAAAAGTACACCACAAACACATTTGGAAAACATTTTATTATATTTCAAGAGATATTTAGATAAATGCATAGAACTAAGGGAATTGTGTCTTTAAGGAAACAATTACAAAGTGAACAGGGATATACAAAGTTCTCCATTATACAAATTCCTTTGGTGGAATTTTTCTTTATGGGCACAAAGCAGATGGGATGCCTTTCAAGCAGACTGGTTTTTATCAAAGTGGACATCATACCAGAATTCCTTGTGATGAGATAAATTTTGCACATGTTCTTTTCAAGAAAGGAGTGCTAATCCACCATAGAACCACCTCCAGTTTAAAATGGACTCAAATGTTCTTGACTACCAAAACCAGGCTATATGAAGCAAGATAAACAGTGAAAATGTGCTTTAAAATATCTACTGCTTTTTCTCTAATACACATCTTCATACTAAAAGTTCTTATCCTTGGCTATTTTGTTTCCTCAGAATCACTCAGGGCTCAGATTTACTAATGAAGTTTTAAAAAATTCTAGCCTGAGTTTTCTGTTGTCCCCTGACCCAACTACTGAAATAATGCAAATTTGTTTTATAGTCACATTATCCATAGAATAAAACAGTTCCTAAGTTATGATATCATTCCACAAATAGGTCTCCACACAGAAGTATGGTGATTTGTCTTAGTCATGCAACCAAGTAAAAAATTAGAGAAATCAGAGCCCTGGGGTCCTGATTGTTGGTTTTGTGCCTTTCTTGGTGACACCGAAGTACAGATGTACCTACGGGTTTTGGAAAGTGTTAGCATGTTTGTTCTTGGGAGTGGGATGAGGTGGCTGGGGTAACAGTAAAAGGGCTAAGCACCCAGGAGATGTAAGCAATTCCTCTCCTAAAAGCTTTACAATGGTAAAAAGATTAAGCATCCATAAAAAAATTTTTAAAATACTTTGAGCTGTAACAAACGTATTACTGGTAACTTTCCAGGAAGCCCTTCCTCAAGTGTTCCACTTACTGACTTTTTGGCACATTGGAGTAAGATATACCAGTGTTAACACATTTTTAAATATAACCACAGAATCGCAGTAGACTGACAGTTTTGTTTTTGCTCATCCACAGTCCCCAAAATAAAAAGCAGATGGTAACAGGTAGCCAAGGCCACCTTATTCCTGCTTCCTTTTTCTCAAAATCACCAGATACA